AAGGGAGTGGAAGTAACCGGAAGCCGTCGCAACTCTTCTTTTCACTGCCGTCTGCACGGACCTCCTCGGCAGATCTGCCCGGCGTAGCTCTGGATTCCGATTCGGAGAAAGTGTATATGATCGCTCAACCGTCACTGTACAGCCTGTCCAACGAGAGCTTCCTGAGTCTTCCGGCCCAAGGAAAGTTTCTAAAGCGATGGGCCAAGGGGATGGCTACGAGTAACAAATCACAGGCCATTGTGGAGAGTGGCGGGGAAAGCCGCAGCTTTGTGAGTGCGCAAGGGAACACCGCCAGGGCACTCAGCCACGGCTACATAACCCCTACGCCATTGAGTTATAGCAGCATCCATGGCCCGAACTACGGAACACCCAGGCGAAACAGCGTCAGTGTGTCTTTGCTATCCCCGAATCCGGCGAGCCCGCCCACGTTCATGTTCTCCAGCGGGGTTGAGACAGCCGAGCGCACCATCACATCTATTAGCAGCTCGGCTTTACCGCTGTACCGGAAAGAGGTTTGGCTCAATGTGTCAGAGACCTCGCCCCCGATGCAGCACAGGAAATCATAACAGTGACTACAAGCCGACGCTATGTACTGGTGTACAGCATGCGGGGAAATTGGCTCGATCTTCCGTAGCACTCACTCCCCCATTGCAGCGCAAGAAATCATATTTTGCACTGGTATGCTACCCAGAAAATCATATGCTCTTTGCAAGCCAACGACATACTAGGTTCTACAACCTGCGAGGGGATTGGCTCAATGTTCGACAGAAACCGGCTTTAGTGCAACGCCAAAAAAATTATGACAGTTCATTGTATATAAAAGCCGACACGAGGTTCGTGTTCGCTGCTTGCGAACAATTTGGCCAGTCGTTACAACCCGCAAGACGAGGCCTACGAACAGGTGTGCAGCCCGCGAGATGATGCTGAGCAACCTTCAGACGAAAGGGATTATCTCGAATCCTATCATCCCTGCATGGGCACCCTAATTTGATCCGTGCATCCGTGATCAGGCTAGTCCTTCGTCACGAAACTCCAGGAAAATAATCGAATAGTAATGGTATCCTATACACCACTTCCGTCGAAGTGTCTTCCTTGATTCCGAGAAGCTCTCGGCACCGTTTGTCACGTTGATATGGATAGAAGTATGATCTGTCAATCGACGAGCCCAGATATGTCCAGTTTGAGTGTTCAAACTTTTTATCTAGCGTGAACTTGACGCTGTCGGCCTTGTCCTTATATCCGCCGCGGCGCACGAACGCGTGCAGTGTGGCCACCTACGTACATCAAAGTGTGGCCTGGAGCCACAAGAGGTCATCTATGACTCCAGGCGTGCATCGAACCGCAACTGTCCATGTGCATCCGACCACCAGCGGTCTTCTACATACTCACGTAGCCCATAGATAGTATCGATTAACTTAGTTTTGTGAACCAACAACGTAAACTACGGAACAGTGTTTAGTGTTATCCGTAGATTCCAACCATGTACATG